CAAGCATGACATGCCCATCGTGCATGCGTGGGGGGGGCAGAGATCCGTGTCCATGGCCCAGTTCAAGGAAGCCCACGGACCAGCACTGGGCTGCGGACTGGGGGTTGGGGACCCCTGCTCTAGAGGCCAAAAACTCTAATTGACAAGGCCTGGCACTTGACTCTTACTTGTACCATAACAACAGGATACTATCCTACAATTCCTCAAATCTCACAGCCATGGTTTTGGAAACTATACTCCACAAAAGGAGCTTTTCAAAACTGGGGTTGTGTGGTGTGCACAGCTCCCAAAAGAACAGAACCCTTGGAAAACTGAGGGAGATTTCGGGGAGGGCAGGCTATCACTGGTACCTTCCTTTTGCTGCCTGAGGCAGTCGCTTCATGCGCCCAAATGGTGAACCCAGCCTGGAACTAAATCACCCCCCTATACCTGTGCCTCTCTGCTTGGGTAGGATGTCACAGACTAGATTACTAAGTGCCGGCAGGAAACAGTGGACGTTGCCACTTATAAATAGTCAACTTTATTCACTCCTAGATATCTGAGGAGGTTGTGCAAGTAAGAAGCACCCGATCATTCTACTGTTTCACTTCCATTGTTGGGAATGAGGCTGACGGCGATGAAGCATCCTGGTGGGAAGTGGCAAAGCATCCTTTCACTCATGACTCAGGTGCTTTCTATCCAGGAAGTGAAATATTTTCCATACTAGTCACAGAGCACAAGCAGGAACACAAGGCTGGGCTGAAGAGGGGGGGGTCATCCGTGAGTCATTGAGTCAGCATCTTCATGCCAAGGTCTCTTGGCAAAAGCTTGCAGGGGTGGTGCCAGAACCTGAACAGTTTTTTTAAGCAAAAAAGACGTCATGCATTAGCATTACTGGGTACATTCTTGAAAGCGTGATATTACCTGTTACTTCTTTCTGTATGACTAACGTTATGCCAACGCATGAATTTTAAGTTAGTGTTTAATTTTAAAAAGCACACAGATTCTCCCTGTGTCCACCATCACCACCACCAGTGACCATCCCAATATTACTTCAGAAGTAATGAACCACTAGTGGCCATCCCAATATTACTTCAGAAGTAATGAATAATCACTATTCATGACCCCCCCAAAAATGTAAAGGCATTACTACAATGGTAATGGTGCTGGAGAAGTGTTGTTACGTGCTGTCAGGTCATCTCCGACTCATGACAGCCCTATGAATGGTGGATCTCCAAAATGTCCTTCCTCGACCCTGAATTATCTCTGGAGGCAAAACTGTTGAAGCTGAGGCTGTCCTACTTTGGGCATCTCATGGGAAGGCAAGATTCTCTGGAATAAGACAATAATGCTGGGAAAGGTGGAAGGAAGCAGGAAAAGAGAAGAACCAAATACAAGATGTACCGAGTCCTTAAAGGAAGCCATAGGCTTGATTTTACAAGAGTACAGCAATTGAGGACAGGACCATTTGGAGATCGCTTATTCATAGGGTTGCCATGAGTCAGAGGCAAATTGACAGCACATGATGGTGGCTGGTGCCCATTGTAGTCTAATTGACAGCACATGCCAACAACAATGATGGTGGCTGGTGCCCATTGTAGTCTACAGCAGAGGCCCCCCCAACCCCCGGTCCGTGGCCTGAGCCGGACCAGGCCGTGGAGACAGACCTCACACCCCCTGCACGCATTCTCCCCTACATAGCCCCTTTGTGCATGCATGCACCCATGCAACCGCTCCCCACCCTTTTGCACATGTGCACAAGCGCTGCGCCATTTGCGCATGCACACAAGTGCCCGAACAAGCACCGCGCCACCGTTTTGGCATGCGCATGAGTGTGCCTGCACAAACATCCTCCCACTCCTTCATGCATGTGCGTGAGTACAACGGGGTCCCCCGCCTTCCCCAGCCAGTCCGCGGGGTTCAAAAGGTTGGGAGCCTTGGTCTACAGGACAGAAAGCACACCAGCTAATGTTGGGCAAAGCCAGGGGCAAAAGAGGGTATTCATGCACACAAATACAAGTACCTTTACACAGAAGTAGGCAGTCAGAACTTGGCTCAATCCCCTTCCCCTCATTCATTCACCCTACAACTCAGCTAAGGAGGAGGAAAATGCATTGGTGCCCACAAAGGTCATCTATCCTTGCCTCCTGCTACTGCTGTTCTTTTCCTCCCTTCTGTCACCTAGTCTTACAAGTTGTGTGAGGTTGGAAAGGAGGGGAACACAGATGATGCCCTTCTCTTCTGCCTCAGGCAAGGAAGCTGGAAAGTCAAAAGGAGGGGAACACAGATGGTGCCCTTCTCTTCTGCCTCAGGCAAGGAAGCAGGCAGGAGCAGTCTGGATGGGACCCTGTGTTACTTGCTCTCTGTTGCAATACTAGCCAGATTGCTTTAAAAAACCCCAAACAAATCAATATTCCAAATCCATTCAGCACAGTTTATCCTCCTAGGTCACTTTTGGGAGCTCCCCTTAAGAGTTTTTCTTTCTTTTTCCTTTCTTTACTTCCTCACTTCTGCAGATTTTACAGTCCTGCCCTCAGGTCTTCTGATATCCCCCTTTTATGTGTGGGTTTTGTTGCTTGGCTACAGAATAATTCAGGGAACAGAGGTTGTTATTGTGTATGGTTCTGTAGTATAAGTAATTGTTGTTGTCGTGGTCTTTAATCTTTTGCACTTTGACTTTAAAATCCCGACGTTTTGTTCTGAGATGTATACAAAGTGTGTGTGTGTGTGTGTGTGTGTGTATCTGGTAGTTGCTGAAGCCTTTTGACAATTCCCTTTTTCCTGTTTGTGTATATTATATTTTGCGTGCGTGCGTGCGCGTGTATCTGGTAGTTGCTGAAGCCTTTTGACAATTCCCTTTTTCCTGTTTGTGTACATTTCTCTCTTTTGCTCTCTCATATTTTTTGCTCCTAATGTTTTCTTCCACCATGCCACCTGTCACTGTGAAATGTTGCCTTGGCATGTATTTGCTTGTTTCTGTCTCAACGCAAGAGGTGTCGTGGTCACAATGCTGAAAAAATACAGCTGTGTTTTAAAAATACAATGGAATGTGATCCCAGCTGCTTCTATAATCAGGACAGAAGTGGTGTTTTGCTAAAATGCAAGAAGCCAAACAGAAGAATAAGCTAGTTGATGGCCCACTAGCAGAGCTGTCTCACTATTAGGCAAAGTGAAGGAGCTATTTTAGTCAGCCAATGCACTGGGGCAGCAGTGGGGGTCCCCGCTGCCATTTGCCTCTCTTGAAGACCAGAGAGGTCTTTTACACAGCCTGTCTTGCACCTCCTAAACCAGCTTGATGCACATAGGTGCGATAGAAGAACTTACCCATCTGTTGAGGTTCAACTGCCTGTCCAATTGACTTCTCTATATAAAATGGAATGTGGAAGTGTAGCGTGGATCTTGTCTTTTGCTTCAAGCAACAACGTTTCTTTGGCCAACCCTGGTTAGCTGATGCACTGTGATTTCGGGGTGTGTTTGGTCACATTTGAGATCAAGGTAGGCATTGGGATGAAAGAGTGAGTTTCAGAAACCAAACACCAATGTGATATACAGAAGTCTCCTTGGACCCAGAAGATGTGGGTTCCAGTGCCCCACTTAGCCATGAAACTCATTATGTACATTGTGGAGGGGCTTCTCTTGATACCATGAAACTCATTAGGTGTGTATGTACATTGTGGAGGGGCTTCTCTTGATCTACACCAGGGGTCTCCAAACTATGGCCAACGGGCTACATCCAACCTGCCTTACCTTTTTATCCAGCCCGGCAAATGCCACAGGCTTGGGTCCATTTCCTTCAGCCCATGCATGTGCGCATTGTGGCCCTCATGCTGAAAATTTTGGAGACCCGTAATCTACAATGATGAGGATATTTCAGTCAAGGAGGTCATGTTAATCATGCCTAATTGTGGTTTGATGTGATGTCAAAATTGACAAACCACAAGCCAAAGTTCAAACAGGACGTGGCTAGCTACAATTCTGCGTGATGCCAGAATTAAGAAAACAGAGTTATGCCCATTGTCCTGTCTCCAGAGGCCACCATGTCTAGAAACTAGATGTGCTGCACTAGTTTGTTTAGAAACTTAAACCACGATTATTGCAAATCATTCTTTGGTTTCTAAACTATAGTTATCGCACATGAGTTAGTGTGCCACTTCTGCTGGCTCCCTTTAAGCTTCCAAACCTAATTCAAGATGATGGCTACTTTTCAGTAATTCCATTAACAACCTAGTGCCGACAGCTCCTAGACGGTGCTCTTCTGCACGGAAGATCTTTAAGGTGAGGCTTTCACCCATATGAACTGTTTATTAAAGATGATTTTTTATTATATGTTGGAAACTGGGTCTTTGATGCAGAGTGCAATTACTTTTCCAAAAGAAAAAGAGGGGAGTCCAAGCCTTGGCTGGAACTTGCACCTTTGGGGCTACAAGATTTTATGGGGTGGGCAACCTGTGGTCACATTTGTCCTTCTGCCTCTATTTGCAGCTTACAAGAGGGTTGCCAGATCTCCATTCCTGAATTTACCACATTGGCAAAATTGCTGGATATTTTGTCCATCTGCTCCCCGAAGACTCTTAAGAAGCCCTGTTCTCTTTCTGAAAAGCAGGAATAGTGGCAAATGTAAGGCTAGATCCAGGAGCCACTTGTTCCCTGACATGAAAACTAGATGTGAGTCAGCAGGTTGGGCCACCTCAGTGACCAGAGGAAGGCGCTCTGCTTGTGATAACAGAGTTATCTTTCATGGCACATCTTCCAAAATGGAGATTGGCTGGCATTGAAAACTCTGATCCTTGCATTTGATCAGATGAAGCTCTGGTGACTTATAATGTGTGGAATAGTTTTGTGACTTTTGCATTGCAAGGTAGCTGTTCTCATAAAACAAAGTCTGTCCTTTCACCTCTTCCTGACTGCAATTAGAAGAGGAGTCCTATAGTGAAATGGAAAACAGCCAGTGGTTTTAGGAGGTTAAGAACAGTCTGCCTTCTACATTCTCTCACCCAACGTGAATTTTCCCTCCTCTCTAGGCTGCTTACTGGAGCTCCACGGGATGTGGCTGTAGAGATGGAGAACAGCACGCGGTTGGGCGCCATGTACGCTTGCCCTTTGACAGCGGCCACTGACGACTGTGAACGAGTGGACATTGAAGTATCAAGTACGTGAACAGCTGCAAAAGAGGGCTCCTCTCTTTTCTTGGCTCAGGGACTGTGAATTTTGGATAAAAGATCAGGGCCCATTTGTTATCTAGCTGACAGAACACAGAGATCTAGTAGGTGTGTGACTGGGCAACTATAGGCAAATGTCTGTCCCTAGATTTCCAGTTACTTATTTGATCTTAAAACTCTTTAGCTGTGTACTAAAGATCTTTGCACACCAGCCTTACTGGGTAGCGCACTCAAATAACCAAAAATAGCAAACAAGACCCTTGTGACTAAGGCACTTTCTTTAGGCATTCTCACCCTTGCCTCCAAGAATCATGCTTGGGTAAAATATAAAATATTTATTTAAAAAGATGTAAATCAAAGAAAATACAAAAAAAGATACACTCGTACTGGTTAAATGCAAAGCATCTAGGTATTAAGTAAGCTCCTGTAAGGCTTTCCCATAAAACAATAAAATACTAACTAATAGCTTTACTACTTAATTACTAGGCTCTTCTAAGTAACTGTAAGTCTCCAATTGGTCAACGAAGGCTGTAAACCTGTCGTCCATCTTCTCTCCTTCTCTCAGCTTACCCGCCCACACCAAAACCCATGTACACTTAAAAAAAACCCTCCTTTCTATAACTTAAATCAAAGTCCTTTCTTCACGATGTTTTCCAATCAGCATATAGTCCTTTGTTCACAATTCCACACCCATCTTGTAACTTTCCACAACTCCTTCTCTCATCCCAGGCTGGTACACTGGTACACCAGTAGCAAGGAATGTTACGGTTATCAGTCCTGTGAAGTGGCCTTGACTCCTCTTCACAGGAACAGTTAGATCTCTGGTCAGGATGATACACCTGCAAGGCTAGGGAAACAAGCACTACAAAACCCATATCCTCACAGACATTTTGTGCTTTCTCCCATTGGCCATGCTGCTAAGGGGTTCTGAGTTGTATCCATCAGCAATTGTGGAGCCTCCTGCTTATCGTTTTGTGTTGGTTCCTGAAACCAATCTGGCAGTAAAAATACAATAATAGCTGTTTGAATAACTCGTAATGTGCTGCTTTTCATGACAGCCAAACTCTGTTGCCTAACACCATAACATCTCTAAATCTACTGCTAATCAAGTTCAGTTGGTGACCCCTGATTTTAGCACTGTGAATGATGGAAGAATGTCAATCATCTCTTCTTTCCATCTAGTAACCCAAATGTTTGCCTTTTCTTCTTCAAGTGATTTCTGCTCCCCATTTGTAGAAAAAAAAAACCAAAACCATTCAGGAATGTTATGAAGGTACAGTGGACCCTTGACTTACAGACGGCTTGACTTACAGACTTTTTGAGTTACAGACTTCTCTGGCCGCAAAATTTTGGTTTGACTTGCAGACTGAGATTTGACTTACAGACCAGAAAAAAACCAAAATGGAACAAAAACGGCCTGTTACGGGATTAATCGGTTTTCAGTGCACTGTAGGTGAATGGAGACTTGACTTACAGACTTTTTGACTTGAGAACCGCCTTCCAATACGGATTAAGTTCTCAAGTCAAGACCCCGCTGTAGTTGGTGTCTATCAAACCTATTTTGCAGGTGAAGCGTTGTTCACCAGTCTGTTATTCTTCACTAAGTGTCTCTCAGGTACCCAGATGCAACCCCCAAGATGAAATCTTTTCCTTTCATCCATAGCAACTAGAGAGCTTGATTATTAGTTTTAAGTAACACTCCTTCAAATCCCATGCTCCTTTTCAATGTGTTTCTTTGATGGAGATTCTAAAATTGTTCCCCCTTGTGGGAGGAAAGCTGGCAACAATCTAGCCCAAAAATGGTAACAAGGAGCCTCTGGATTTTTAGATGTTTTTGGCTTACAACTCCCATCATCAGTGATTGTTGACCTTGCTGGCTGTGGCAAATGGGACTCCCCCCCATATCTGGAAGGCCAAAAGTTCTCTGTCCCTATGGAGGATTGATGGAAGGGAGGGAGGGTTGTAGGAAGGTGGAGCCTGTCCTAACTAGATCCACTCCCTAATCCTTGTCCACCATTTTCTCAACAGGCAACCCCCGGAATAACATTGTTGAAGACATGTGGTTGGGGGTGACAATTGCAAGCCAAAGAACAACATCTGGGAGAGTGATGGTGAGTAAGTCGGTTTGTGGAGATGGGAGGGCTTCAACTGCCCTAACCCTCTCTCCACTAAAACCACTCCTTGGGATGAGGACCTCAGTCCAAGCAGGATCGTAGGCTTTCTCTTGGGAGGAAGTTATTACATGTATTATTATTATTTTTTGCATTGGGTCACTCTTTGATTTTCGTCAATGCTTATGTGCTCCCGTGAGCAGAATTGCATTTTAAGCATACAAAGAAGATGCCACTTTTCTGTTTTTCCCAGTCCCTGTAAAAATGTCGGATCATTTATCTAATGTTATTATACTCCTTGCTCAAATTAAGGAAAACTTAGAAAATACATTCTTAAAAACAAATGTCAACAATGTTGCTTTGTGTGTATCAGTGAAGGGCTTTTGTTCTTTCATTCCTGACTAATAATATTTCATCATTTGAAATGTTAAGTGTAACAACTTGCTTAAATGGATGTTACAATTTTTCTTACCATTAACGAATTAATTGTTCATTTTTTTCATTTTAACATGAATGCATTAATTATTTATTCAATGTCATGAAGCTGCTAGCTCTAATATTTTCAAGATTTAAGACTTATGCAAGATACCTTCTAATTCCATAGTACCATGACATCTGTTCTGTGCATGATCAGAGGAATACTTATATTTTTCCTACACCTTGGGTTTTGGGATTTGTGTTGGGCTACAACCCTGCAGCAGGGGGCTATGTCCTAAAGCAAACATTAAACCTCCACCGCAGTGAGCCCATTGAATCCATGGGAACTCGGTAAGTCGACACTAACATAGATCCCATTGATTCAGTGGGGCTTCTCTAGATGGGACTAAAAACTGGATGTTGGCCCATGCTGGAAACTAGTTTCTGTCATAGACTGGGAGATTTAAAAAAGGAAGGGCACACAAGCAACAATTGAGGGAGATCCTTCAAAAAAAATGAAGCCCACCAGAAAAGGAACCTTGTGGTTTGGTTCTTATGGGAGAGACAGTCAAAATGGCTGGCATATGGCATTTTCTTTCCAAGGCACCTGGCTGTCTAGCTTTTGCTGCCTACAGCTCTTTCTTGAATTTCATTTAATTCCACCGAAAATGGTTTTTGAGGCATTTAAAGGTGCTGAGGGTGTAGAGAATCAGAATAGCAACTAGGAGAAATTCGAGGAAGGAGTAGTTCTTTGGTGGGAGATGGAAGGGGAGGAGGGTTACGTGAGGGCCAGGGTAGGGGAAGAGATAAGGAACTGAACACCTAGATGGACTATAGCTGGTACCTCTTTGAGATTTTTGTTTTATTTCTTTGTTTCATTTATTTCCCACCTTTCCTCCCATGAGCTCAAGGCAGTGGTTGAGGTTTTCCTCCAGCCTGCTCCATCTTCACAACAGTCTTGTGAAATAGATCAGGCTGAGTAAGGATTTGAACATAGGTTTTATGCGTCTCTGTCCTACGTTATATTGCTTCTGCCAGAGTTGGAGCTTGCCCTGTAAAGTCTTAGTGGGTTGCTTTTTCCAGGCTTGTGCTCACCGTTACACCAGGATCTTGTGGTCCGGCAATGAAGGCCAGAGGCGCATGGTGGGGAAGTGCTATATCCGTGGCAACGACTTGAGCCTTCAGGAGGAAGATGAGTGGCAGACGTACCATAATGAGATGTGCAATGCCAACACTGACATCGAGTCGACCGGCATGTGTCAGATGGGAACCAGTGGTGGCTTTACCTCCAACAGTGTTTATTTTGGAGCCCCTGGTGCTTACAATTGGCAAGGTCTGTGGCACTGCATGTCTCACCTCTCTTGTTTTCCTTTTCATGAATGTGACTCAAATAAGTGTTGTAGTTTAATTTAGAGAGTTATAATGGAAGTGCCAGAAATGGTCAAAATTAGAAGGGTGCTTTTTATTGTTGATTTTTTGTTTTTGTAAAAAGAAACATCTCCAGTGGTAAATAGTGATGGATTTAGGCATTTTTGTGGGTAGGTGGAAGAGAAAATTAAGAATACAAATATTGTATTGGAAAGTTGTTACTTAAATAGAAGATCGAGGCATGATCAAGATTTGGGCATGTTAAATTTGCTTAAAGTTGTCTGACAAGAACATTTCAAAAGGCAACAAGTCTCTGATCTCCAAAATGTACACATTTAAATCATAAATCATAATTTGAGACTAATATAATTTTAAAAATCTTTGCTTATACCTTTATCCCAAAGTCAAACTTGTTATTTCCAGAGAGTTCTTTGCTTTTAATACTCCTTACTTTTCCAAGTCCTTTCCTGTGAACAGCATCAACCTGTTCTTCATCTTTATTAAAGGTTTTCCTCAAGACTTCTCTTCCCTTCCCCCACCACTGCTCTTGACTTACTCAACATTTTTCCTCCAAAGCTTTTGCTTCCTCCAGCTGTTTCCTCTCAACATCCTTGAACTCACTACCATTCTTCTGGAACTCTGCTTGCCAATCACACCCTTTCTTCAGATTCTCCCTGCTCTTTGCAGCTCATTATATTGCTAGTCTTTTTCTTCCTCTGCAGTTTCCTCAGTTCTTTTCCTCCTCCAGTTCACCTTCCTTCCTTCTTTCCTTCCTTCCTTCCCCCACCTCACCCTCTTGTTCTGCCTGCTTTCTTGCAAGCAAAGGATGATTGTTTAAATGTCACCAAAATAAAGGAAATGCCAAAAAGACCACAAAAGAGTATTCTGATGTACAGTTTGCATAAGATTTAGAAATAATTGTTACAGATCAAAGATAAATATATTTCAGTTTAGTAAGGAAGACTGTGTCCCAGAAACTTGGGTTTCTGGTCAGTTTACGGATCATCATCATCATCATCATCATCATCATCATCATCATCATCATCATCATCATCATCATCATCATCGCAATAATTATGTGCCATCAAGTCAATTCTGACTTAGGGCAACCCTTTTCAGGGTTTTCCAGGTAGAAGAATACTCAGAAGTGGTTTCCCATTCCCTTCTACTGGGCATCCTGGGACTGTGCAGCTTGCCCAAGGCCACACAGGCTGGCTCTACTCACAGGAGGCACAGTGGGGAATTGAACATCCAACCACATACCTAAAGCCACTGAACTATCCAGCCAGTTACTGACCATAGAGTGATATAATGTTATAATGAGGTAATTTTTAATACTTCACTCTGGGGATACTGAGGAAATAACATTGTCCCTTTTGAAAGTATCATAATGGACTTGGTTTTAACTGCTGTTGGGCAGCTTCAAAGCCTCTCCTCTATTTTCTTTATTCTTTTTTTTTAAAAAACAGGCATATATTAAACAGGCCCTCAACCAGATGATACTTTTAAATAGAAGATTGTCCTCTGTAAAGTATGACACATGTGACCGTAAGAAGTACAGTGGGGTCTTGACTTGAGAACTTAATCCGTATTGGAAGGCGGTTCTCAAGTCAAAAAGTCTGTAAGTCAAGTCTCCATTGACCTACAGTGCATTGAAAACCGATTAATCCCGCAACAGGCCGTTTTTGTTCCATTTTGGTTTTTTTCTGGTCTGTAAGTCAAATCTCAGGCTGCAAGTCAAACCTAAATTTTGCGGCCAGAGAAGTCTGTAACTCAAAAAGTCTGTAAGTCAAGCCGTCTGTAAGTCAAGGGTCCACTGTAAGGCGAATTGCTTTGGGCACATTTAGTAAAAGTCTTTGACCATTTAATGAATTCTCCTCTAGTATACAATGCAGAAGGTGTAGTTTCCGTCAAGAAGTCATAAAAATTACTTTTTTTGATGGCACTGTTCATGCTGGCAGAAGAATTCTGGGAATTCATGTCTAGAAAAGTAACTTTACAAAGCTCTCGATTCCAGGCTGACCTTGGCCCGAACAGCTCTCTTTGCAATTAATTCTTGGCTGGGGCCAAAGATTGATCCTTGCTGGTAAAGGCAGGTAGAGACAACACAGTCCCAAAGGATGTTGAGAGGTTTTGCTGTATCGGTTTAAAATAAGGCACATTACTTTTGTCTTGCACAGGAACTGGTTATGTGATCCAGCGCGAGGGCTGGGAACAACATGATTTCTCCTATCCCGATGAGAAGCATGGGAACAGCTATCTGGGTAAATATAACTAATTTTAATAATCATAGGCTGGCAATATGAACCCAGCTTCCCTACCATCAGAAGACAGTATAAAATATTTGTTTGTTTGTATGTATGTATGTATGTACCCACCTTGTTTCCCTGAAAATAAGACCTAACCTGAAAATAAGCCCTAGTATAATTTTTCGGGATGCTTTTAATATAAACCCTACCCCCAAAACAAGCCCTAGTTGAGTGAAACCCTGCCCTCCACCATTGTGCAGCAACCAGAAGAAGATGAGAGGGCTGTATTTGAATCAACTTAGATTGCTGTACATGAAGAAAATAAGACATCCCCTGAAAATAAGCCCTAATGTGTTTTTTTGGAGCAAAAATTAATATAAGACTTTGTCTTATTTTCGGGGAAACATGGTATGTATGCATGTATGCATGTATTTCATTTCACTAAAAGATAGGTGGCTTACAAACTTTCAAAGAATAAAAGAAAGATTTTACAGTTAGAATCACATTTCGTTGAAAATCAATACAATCTTTATTAAAAAGTAATAAATCTTTATTAAAAAGTAAGGAAAGTAAGCAGCCTAGAGTGGTCGTATAGACCAGATGGGCGAGGTACAGATCAATCAATCAATCAATCAATCAATCAATCAATCAATCAATCAATCAATCAATATATTATGTGTGAATGTTATGCACCATTTACTGTGGTTTGAAGTTGGTTTAATATCCTGATCTATTCTGAAGCTGTTACCTTCAATTCAAGTGTTAGTCCTAACTAGAGTAAACTCACTAAATGAATGAAACGTAAGTTGACATAAATGTAAACCCGACTAATTTAATAAATTTATTCTAGTAGGAATTAACAATAGGATTTAGCACATAGATTTCCAGTACAGATACAATGGGAGACTATTGTTAAAAGAAGTCTTCCTTATTGGTTTGCCAAATTATAGGAAGGCAGGAAGGATGGCACTTCAGGTTTAAGGCATTTATTCATATCTCATCATATGAAGCTCAGGATAGCTAGTGATGGAGATGGTTGTGGTGATGGGAGATAAAGAAGGACAGAGTAACGTATAACCCCTTCTTCTCTGCCATTTTATAATTTTAGGGTATACCATTGAGGCGAGCACTGCTGTCCTACACAGACAGATTACCACCTTCGTCACAGGAGCCCCCCGCTTTAATCACACAGGAGCTGTTTTCCTGATGGTAAATGGCAGTGAGACACTTCAGAAAAATCAGATGCTCTTTGGAGAGCAAGTGGGCTCCTATTTTGGTAGTTCTGTTGCCCTGGTCGACCTCAACAATGATGGGTGAGTCCTGGTGGTGTTTGCCTCTATTTGACCAGGGGATTGGAAAGGACTATTAAAGGCTAACTGGCCCTACTACCTCAAGTGGCAGGTGCTGGGTGCTGGTGGCAAAGTGTTGAAAGTGAGAACTCTGTACAGTCGTGCCCCGCTTTACGATTACCCCGTTTAACGACAAATCCACTTGATGGTGAGGTTTTTGCAATCGCTTTTGCGATCGCAAAACGATGGTTTGAATGGAGTTTTCCCGCTTTGCGATGATCAGTTCCCTGCTTCGGGAACCGATTTTCGCTTTACGACGATCAAAACAGCTGATCGTCGGGGTTTCAAAATGGCCTCCGGGTGTACAAAATGGCTCCCCGCTGTGTTTAGGAACCATTTTACACTTTACAGGCACCCGGAAATGGCCGCCCCTATGGAGGATCTTCGCTGGACTGTGAGTTTTCAGCCCATTGGAACACATTGAAGGGTTTTCAGTGCATTTCAATGGGTTTTTTAGTCTCGTTTGACAACGTTTTCGCTCTACAGCGATTTCGCTGGAACGAATTAAGGTCGTCAAGCGAAGCACCACTGTACTGTTCTGCATATCCAACAGAGCTTGGAAGGAATATATTGCAGATACGTACTTTGTTGTTTGTAATTCCTTTCCTCGGTAACAAAGGTATAGCTACATTACATTACAATTTAACATAAGGAGAGATACCACCACTCCTTGTGTAACTGTGATTTTAATTTCTTTTATAATTACAGGGGTGTGGCCTTATTAAAAGGTGCAGAAGTATCACATGATTCATATTCTGGTTTATGTTGTACCATATGTTACTACCTTGTGCTGTTCAAGGTGTTCAGGTGATACCAAGCTAGACAGGAGAAGTATGCAATACATACCATTGGCTTTGGCTTGCAATATTCATTTGTTACAAAACCCACAACAACCATTAGATCCCGGCCGTGAAAGCCTTCGCGAATATATTTAATTACTCTTGGAAAATGAAAAAGAATTGCTTAATGTAACTGTACAGTGTAACTGTAATAGCAACTAAGTATTTTTAAGGCCTTGAAATTCTCTACTTTTAAAAAATAACGTCCAATGTTCTGTCAGCCTGCTGCTTTCAGGGGCACAGAGAATGCTGTCCTCATCACTGATAAAAAGAGAATCAACCCAGTCATCTTTTGTACATAGAATGCCATCTTGTTCTTTGTCTCAGGCAGCAAAATACTTGGGGGTCCCTGCATCCAATATACAGATGACGATTATTCTTCTTATTTCTCTCTTTGGTAGGTGGAAGGATTTGATCATCGGAGCCCCATATTACTTTGACCGGAAAGAGGAAAAAGGTGGGGCTGTCTATGTGTACATGAATCTCGGTGGGATCTTCCACACCAGCCCAAATCTCACCCTGACGGGCCCCAGCAATTCTTCCTTTGGCCTTGCTGTGGCCAGCATTGGAGACATTGATAAGGATGATTTCCAAGGTTAGGCTGCTTTGCTTTCGGCTTGACTTTATGTTTTGGTGACCAGCCTCTTCTATCTCCTGTCCAGATGCTAACTGTTGGTAGTCAACTCTCTATTGTCTTGGTAGTCTTTAAACTGGTGTTGTCCAGTCCTTCAGATATATGAGGTCTTCAACTAAAGGAATATCTGATGGTTGTTGTGGGTTTTTTGGTCTGTTTGGCCGTGTTCTGGAGGTTTTTCTTGCTAACATTTCACCAGTCTCCGTGGCCGACAGAGACTGGCAAAATGTTAGGAAGAAAAACCTCCAGAACACGGCCAAACAGACCAAAAAACCCACAACAACCATCAGATTGTGGTGGTGAAAGCCTTCGAGAACACATTAAAGAAATATCCTTTAGTCTTCAAATAGAGGAATTTCCTCTTAAAGCAGGGTAGTTATCCATGCTGCATATCAGTGGAGCCCAGAGTTTTATTGCAGAATAAGGTGCCAGCTGTAGTATTCTTTCTATTGTTTGGCTCTCAGGCAGGGTGAGGAAAATCTTTGCCCTCCAGGTATTTAAGGCCACAGCTTCCCTTACCATTGGCCATGCTGGCCAGGACTTCTGGGCTCAAAATAATGTGGAATCTTAAAATTTGGTTGATTCTTTTAGTTAGCAGAATATCAAGTACAAAAATCCAGCACACATGGAAAATGTGAAGAGAAAATTGCTAAAAATACAGCTTCCAACCCAGCCCCTATTGTCTGTAAAAAATCACGCTACAACTAGCTTAAAGTAGAAAAAGAAATTACCTTTACTGATAGTTTGCAGTATCCATGCACACAGCCCGAAGCACAAACCAACAGGAAGAGGGGAGGGGCAAATCTCAAGCCCAGGAAAAAGAAAATTTGCTGATTGATTAGTGGGAAAAGACAGTAATATTAGTTTGTGAAAGCTCCTTCCTCCCACAAAACCAGTGTTAGGTTGCATGTGAGATTTTTTAAATTGTTCCAGCACAAAACATATGAAGGGCCTAAAGGTAAAGGTTCCCCTTGACAATTTGTCCAGTCATGTCCGACTCTAGGGGGTGGTGCGCATCTCCGTTTCCAACCCAGCGTTTGTCCGAAGACAATCTTCCGTGGTCACATGGCCAGCGCGACTAGACACGGAACGCCGTTACCTTCCCACCATGGTGGTCCTATTTATCTACTTGCATTTTTTGCGTTTTGCATACTTTCAAACCACTAGGTTGGCGGGAGCTGGAACAAGCGACGGTGGCTCATTCTGTCACATGGATTCGATCTTACGACTGCAGGTCTTCTGACCTTGCAGCACAGAGGCTTCTACGGTTTAACCCGCAGCGCCACCACGTCCCTCTATGAAGGGCCTAAAGCTTCACATTAATAAAACAGCAGAAAGTCCATTTACCCCAAATCCTCATTCTGTGAGGAGTTCTGGACCTTTGCCCTGCATGTTCTTCAGCTCAAACTGGGGCTCCCAGTTCCCCTGCTCCAGCATGAGGGGTTTGAAGCAACTTTGTCAAACTTTAGCTTTTCAGCAGAGTTTGGGCAAGTTCCTTTGTTGGACTACAACTCCGAAAATCCCCCAGCCAGCATAGCTAGAGTTGGTTTGCTCAGATCGGCTGTACTGACAGGGAAATCCTGAAGTCCACAAACATAAAATTTCCAGAGTTCAGTGCTGGTCTGCGGGGCCTGCGCTAGAAACGCAGCAGAGAAAATGGTTTTTCAGCAGGGGTTGCAGCAAGTCAGGATCAAAGAGAAGCTCTTTTAAGCCTTCTGGGATTTAGAGTTTATGGCTGGTGATTGGGAATGCTTGAATGATTGGTTGTGGAAAGGTACTTTAGAAATAACAAGTCATTTCACACATCTACACTACGAGTAAGTCGATCTGTCCTTTTCCTTCTTCCCCCTGTTTTCCCCACAGATATTGCCATTGGGGCTCCATTTGAGGGTTCCGGAAAAGTATATATTTACCACAGCAGCGTGGGAGGACTTGTTGATAAACCCCGGCAGGTAAATGCTCCTTTCTCTTCCTCATTGTTTTCATCTTTGTGAGGTGAGGAAAATGCTTCTGATGAAGCAGCCTCCTGTTTTCCCAATACTTTCCCCAAGGATTTATATCTTTGGCAGTATGGTATAACACAGGAGATGTCTTCCGACTGCCCTTTTAATGTTCATAACCTCTGGGCATGACTGTGCTGGGTGGGGCTGATGGGAATTGTAGTGTAACAATCTAGGATAGAGCACCAGGTTAACTACTACAATGATAAACCCCAATGGCTCTCCCCCCACCCCACGATTTGCGCTGGGCCACCCTCAGCCCCTGGAGCACTGTCACCACAGAAGGCAAATTCATTCCTTGTTCAACAGAGTTCTTTCTCGCCTTTGCAGTTGCCCTCAATCCTCTCTCATTTGATCCACTTCTGCAGATCATTAGTGGAGAAGATATTGGCCCTGGCATCACCACCCTGGGCTACTCTTTCAGTGGTGGAATGGATGTGGATGGGAACTCCTATCCTGATCTTCTCGTGGGAACCCTCTCTGAAAATATATTGCTGTTCAGGTGAGATGTGCGTGAACCAAGGACTTGGAGAAATAGCTTTCCAGAGACCTCTGTGGGACAGGTGGGGAGCCCCCATAGGTTTAAAGAAGACTACAGGCAGTTTTCAATCCTAAAATCTCTTTTCTTCAAAAATAAGTGTCAGATCACACAGTAAGGAAAATGTATATTTTTTGGTATCATTTTGGTTACTAGAAACTCTGTTCCTTTAAAGCTCCATGCCAGAGCAGTCAGAATTGCAAATGAAACAAACAAATGTCTTCTGCTTTTTAAAGGAGTTCAACTTTTAATGACATGCTGTCATTGTATACATAGTTTGAGCCTGAGAGGTCGGGTCTATCAACCGTGAGGTGTTGATTTCCTCCTCCTCTATGCTACCTTCTACTTGTCTCTACCTTCCTGCAGAGCCCGCCCAGTGATCAACATCGTATCCAAGACTTTTACAGTTACCCCCAGCACTCTGGACCCAGCCAAATGTACTAAGGACTCTTGGTAATTGTCTTTGCTCAACATGTTATTGTGCTTGTTGTTTCTTTTGATCCACTCACTTGACTGCCAGGGCATTTTGGAAGGCATGTGACAGCGCAGATGTTGGGGATATGCTGGGTATATTTAGCCTACAGAAAGGAAGATGAAGGGGAAACACCGCCAGTTTTCAGCCTATTGAAAGAGGATGTAGGAAAGAATTGAGAACAATTGTTTACCTTCTCTACCAAGTACAGGAGGGGCAGTAGTGTTTACATAAGAGAGGAAAAGGTTCCGTTTAATTTTTTTTAAAAACACCAAGCAGTGAAAGCAGGAGAACACATTGGAGCCGGCTGTATAGAGAAGCTGGGCAGATGTTTTAAAGTAAAGCACCAGAGGTTGTTGGGGTAAGCTTTTGGTACAGAATATCCTGCCCTTAGGAGGGAAGATAAGCTATTGGTTTCCTACTAGGAATATTTACACCTCAACTTTCCTCCATTGCACTAAAAACTGTGAACTTGATGCCTCTTCTCACCATGTAGTCATCACAACAGGCCTGTGAGGTAGGCCAGGCTGACAGACAATGGCTATCTCAGTCTTACCCAGTGAGTTTCATGGTTCAGATTAAGGAATGAAGAGCCGAATCTCCCATTCAGTCCATTCCAGCAAGATGAAGCCAAAAGGACGACAAACCTTTTAACAAAAACGATCTGTTTGGCAGTTGCAAATTGTGTCTGAAGGGGGGTCACCTCCATAACAGAGTTGGGTAATTAATAGGCACCATACCTATATCATTTTAGCAGTGCTAGTAAAGGTATAACCCAGCGCTTACAATTATATTTACTTATAAGCCTACTTTGTTTTTAAATGCTTTGGAAAATGCAAATAGAATACTTTGGAATTTGCAAGTGTTATGCAATGTAGAGGAACCACCAGCTGTGTCCAGTCTGTGACATACTGACTGGCACTTTCAGGGTTAATTAATGTGGGTATGAAACAGGTTTATAATTCAAGCTGTAATGCACAATTTTGGCACCTAAGCACCATTCCCTATCCCCAGCTCTATGTCAAAGCATGGGATGAGTCACCCATGAAAACAAAGGAGAAGAATATGGTCTTCTTTGAAGGAAAGGGAATACAGTAGGACCACAGGATTTGTAGGATCAGTTTCCACGATTTCACTTATCCACGGTCTGAAAATATTAAAAATATTAAATGAAAAAGCCCAAAAATATGTATTTCCACAGTGTAATTACCAGAACCTACCACTAGAGGGAGTCATAGACCATGCTGTGTACAGTGGTGTCCCACTAGACGACAACCTCGCTGAACGATGAAACCGCAGGACGATGACTTTTTGCGATCGCTATAGCGATTTGCAAAACAGTCATTCCTATGGGGGAATTTCGCTGGATGTCGATTAGGTCCATGCTTCGCAAACCGTTTGTTCGCAAGATGACAATTTTGACAGCTCCCTCCGCGCTCTCAAAATGGCTTCCCTATGCTTTTAGGCCCATTTTTTTGACAGCGATTAAAAACAGCTGGTTGGCGCTCAGAAAACTTCCCTATGCTTTTTAGGCCCATTTTTTGAAAGACAGCAATTAAAAACAGCTGGTTGGCGCTCAGAAAATGGCTTGCCTATGGGGAATTTTTTTCGCAGGACGAGGTATTTCCCCCATTGGAATGTATTGAATGGGTTTCAGTGCATTCCAATTGGGAAACTCTTTTCGCATGACGATGATTTCACAAGACAGCGATTTTGACAGAACAAATTATCATCGTCATTCAGGGCACCACTGTATAGAGTTCAATATTATCTACAGTTATCGGCATCCATGGGGAGTCTAGAACCGATTCCCGTGGATGCTGCAGTCATACTGTATTTACGATTTCAAAAAAGGGAAGTATATCAGTACATGAGATGTAGCTGTGTATTTTCCTAATAATCACGAATACATTCCCCTTTAGATTTTGGTGCCCTCTTAATTTAGGTACCCAGGGGCAAAACCCCTGTTGCTTCATTGTAGTTACAGCCCTGCTTATACAACGTCCCTCCTTTTAAATGTAAGCCTAGGCCTGTTTTGCTTGTATTTGGAGGTCTTGGTGCCTATTCTATCTGTGATTTCTGCCCCATCTTACAGTAAACTCATCTGATCATCACCATCTCTCTGTTTCTTTCTCACTCCTTTCCCCATTTCCATGTCTTCTCATTAACAGCATCAACGTGAAGTTCTGTTTTTCCTATTCCCAAAGTGCTGGAGACCCCAATTACAAGGAGACTATCAGTAAGTCAGATGTTGAAGCCCTGGTCCATTTCTTGCCATGTCTTTCTGAAGGAAAGAAGTTGAAAGGCTCAGCCACTTAAGCCCCTTGACCTTGACACCTTTCTCCCTAGCCTTAGATATGTCTGTGCAAGCTGTGTGTGGCAATATGGAGCATGCCCAGGGACGTTCCCATCCTCTTTCGGTCTTGCTCTTTCCTGAATTCCAGTGATGCAGCGTGATACTGCATCCCTGGAAAGATGGGGAACATGTGACCTTCCAGATGCAGCTGAACTATAAATCCCATGATCCCTCACCATTGGCTATGCTGGCTAGGGCTGCTGGGAGTTGCAATCCCATTAAATCTGGAAGCGAACATGTTCTTCATCCCATTGTGAAACATGTCCATTCTTCCATGAATCCTCTATATTTTGGAGTTCTCTTTGAACTTAATTTAAGCTGATCCTTGAAACAGCTTAGGCCAGTGGTTGCTTATCCATTAGGGGAATTAAGACACTGAGCCGCCCCAGTCTCAAGCTGCCCCCGCTTGCCTGCTCCTGCCTGCTTCCTTACCCAGTGACCAAGGCTCTTGTGTATGTGTTAATGAATACTTGCCTGCCGGCTTGTCTGTACGGGTGTGTAAGAGCAAATGCTTTTGTATGTGTGTGTGTGTACTTTTTGTCCCTGATCCCACACACCATGGGTTGTTATACCTTTCACAGTGAGCATCAACCTCTTTTGGTTTGGCTCCAAACATAGTGTAGTTGTGCCAGAAAACTTGGGGAAATGGAGTGAAAGAGACGTTTCTCCAAGCACAACCTCAGTTTTCCTGCTGAAACTCGACCCTTCCTCTGATTTGGGTTTTCTTCCTACTTCCTTTTCTCTCCTCGTATCAGAACTGAACTATGTCATAAAGGCTGATCAGGACCGTCGTCCACCTCGAGTACATTTTGCCGGGAGGCAGTCCGCCGTCTACGAGGGAACGTTCTCCATGCCCAACAAGCAGTGCCAGACTCTGAAGGTCCTCCTATTGGTGAGGAGGAGGCAGCCTGGCTGATAAAATTGGAGGATAGCAGGGAGGGTGCCGAAGGCTATCTAGTCTGTCCTGGGTGTATCTGCGCTTATCCTCCTCTCCTGTTCCCACAAGACAGAATTCTTCATATTGCACATGATGGCGATTTATTTAAAGTGCTCTCTGAAATTAACTCTCACCTACCCTCCAGGATAATGTGCGAGACAAGCTTCATCCCATTAGATTCTCCATGAACTATTCTCTGAAAGAAGAACCAAGGAGTTTCCTCTTGGGTCTGCACTCCCTTGATGCCTTTCCTGTCTTGAATGAAGACCAGCACCATGAGAATCATACAGAGGTTAGCACTATGTAAAAATTAAAAGGATTCCTGTTGTTTCCCACAAATTCTTTTGCTATGGAGTCTCTGTCTTTTCTAAGGCTGCTTGGGGAGAGGGGCTATCTTGATTCTTGCAAACTGCTTGTCTTGTCTCTAGGTGGAGTGAGGATCCCATTTTTGTCTCATCACATTAACCTTTCATTTCTCTCACAAATGATGCACTGTTTATCAACAGTCTTTTACTGGCTTCTTCTGTTTTTCTGTTCGTCCGTTAGAAAATCAGCAAACAGTCCACAAGAGATCAGCTAGTGATGAGTTGAGGGAGTCTTGCAAATAGGCTGCCATATCATACATACACGCTGAAGTGAGTTGTTATTATTTCTGTGTGTATACAGATGCACTCACAGAGAGAAAGGGTGTCTGTAATGCCTTGTGTCCAGTTTTTCATCATCAGTTGATAGTACCATCATCCAAGTTCCACACTGGCACCATCTGGTGGAAAGACTATTAATCACAATTTTAAAAGCAGACTAAAATAAGAGCATTCATGCTGTACCTATGGCTAGACTGATGTAAGCATGTGTCAATATCTATGTCTAGTTATCATGCAATGGCTTTGGCATGCAATCACATTTCATTGTGTGCCGCTTTAAAGTTTTGAAGTGATGCAACCCAATCCAGGTAGTTGCTTTGTTGGGGCATCATATGGCTCTAGCTATGGGGAGCAGGACTGACGTTGAGGGCCAGCATCAATAGGGACTTGCAAAGGTCTGTATTTAACAGCAGGGGCCCCACTAGGAACTTTTGGAGCTCCTCTGATCAAGTTTCTCTCTCCTCCTCCTCCCAGTTGTTCTACCAAGTGCATGGAAAGGTTACATGGCAGGCCTATAACTCTCAGAAACCTCAGCATGGATGGATGGATGGATGGATGGATGGATGGATGGATGGATGGATGGATGGATGGATGGATGGATGGATGGATGGATGGATGGATGGATGGATGGATGGATGGATGGATGGATGGGCAGGCACACAATTTCATTTGCATCTCAGTTTTTCTCTAAGGAGCTCAAGGTGGAACACAGCCAGTTTCATCCTCAGGATAGTGTTAAGAGGTTATAAGGTCAGAAGCTGACTCCATGCCACTTAAATGCATTAAGTATGAGGGCAGCTCTGAAGCTCCCTTGTCCCACTCTAGCACTCTGCCTCTACAAGACAGTTTCTGTTGGGCTGACTTGGAAATTCTATTTTCAGATCCAGTTCCAGAAAGAATGTGGGACTGACAACAAATGTAACAGCAACCTGAAGATTCAAGCTGTTTTTCTGAATGATCAGAACAAGAGGCTGCCCAGGTGAGAAAGCACCACTTGCTGATAATAGAGAGGAGTCAAGGGTCATTCCCATTATCCATATCTTGTCTGAACCTGCATGTTTTTTGTGAAAGTGCCAGGTCTTAAGCCGAGAAGATGGGAAACAGTGATCAGAAATAGACTGATCCTAAGCATGAACAAACATGGATTGCACATAGCTGATATGAATATAAACCCTTGTTGAGTTCTGTAGACTAAAACTATGCACCACCAAAAATGGGTCTTTCCTGTGGAATTTATCCCAGGAGGATGAAAAGCCTCCTGTTTTAGGCAGCTGCTGAGCAGTAGCTAGGACCCTGTCATCCCAAACCAAAAGGGATTTTCTGGTTGCCCAGAAGTTCCTTATAATCCTTCCAATCTGGCTCCATGGGACATAACTCCATTCCTGGTGCATAAGAATGCTGTATGAGATGCTGTGCAGCTCTGGTGGGAATGCTCCAACATGAACTCCCTCCAGCTCACCACTAGGGGCAGCAACAGCAGCACACAGACCTACATGCCCCCAGCATGTCCCAGAAGCTAGACAGGAAGAGGGAGTGGGAAGGGTCCAGGGCCGGCTCCGTAATTGTGCAGAGTGAAGCAAAAGCCTCCAGCCTCCTTTGGCTGTTCCTCCTGAGTTCTCTGGCCATTTTTCCTCCATGAGACAGCTCTGGGGATGCCACACAGCCTGGTTTATTATGCCCCTAAAGCAACCTGCTGCCCTCAGATCTGGCAGAAGAGGTTATCTCATCACCAGTATCAAAACAAGATTCATCTGGAAGTCTGGTTAGGTTCTGTAGGTCAGTGGTCCCCAACCTTGGGCCACCAGATGTTCTTGGACTTCAACTCCCAGAAATCTTGGCCAGCAGAGGTGGTGGTGAAGGCTTCTGGGAGTTGTAGTCCAAGAACATCTGGAGGCCCAAGGTTGGGGACCACTGCTGTAGGTGGCATGAGCAAGAAATGTAATATCTTGCCATTTGCCTTAGGTAGCAAGTTCTCGTGAGTTGGCCTTGGGTGGAAAGGGAGCCCTGCCATTTACAACCTCTGCTTAAGTGTACGATCTTCCCCATGACAGGCGGAATGGTGTTCAGGTGTTACAATACAGCCGTGATGTCAAGAAACTGAACCTGAGCATCAGTGTCACCAATAAGCCAACATCGCCTACTAATGGAGAGGATGCTCACGAAGCCCTTCTCAACATCACCTTCCCGCCCTTCCTGCTGCCTTCCTCTGTTCGGCCGGTAAGAGATGCTTCCTCTCATGTACGATTGTCTCTGCTACACCAGGGTCCTTCTCTATCAGTCACTTCTCAGAAGCCATGGGGAATCTTGCAAACTCTGCACAAGGGCAGTGGCTCTTCCAAGCATTTGGTTAACGCTGTTCTGCCAGGAATGGGCCATTTGTGGTCCTCTAGAAAATCCAACCCCCTTCATGGATTGCTGCCTTGTCATGGCAAAGGGGCTTGAGTAATGCAGAGAAACTATGGGCTATGCAGTGCAAGGACACACAAAACGGACAGGTCATAGTGGAGAGTTCTGACTAAATGCAATCCAACTGGAGCAGGAACTGGCAAGCCGCTCCAGTATCTTTGCCAAGAAAACTCCATGGACAGAAAAAAAGGTTAAAAGATACGACATTGGAAGATGAATCCCTCAGGTCGGAAGGTGTCCAACATGCTACTGAGGAAGAGCAGAGGACAAGGACAAGTAGCTCCAGAGCTAATGAAGTGGGTGGTCCAAAGCTGAAAGGACACTCAGCTGTGGACGTGCTTGGAACTGAAAGGAAAGTCTGATGCTGCAAAGCAAAATACTGCATAGGAACCTGGAATGTAAAATCAGTGAATCTTGGTAAGCTGGATGTGGTCAAACAGGAGAAGGTAAGAATTAATATTGACATCCTGGGTGTCAGTGAACTAAAATGGACAGGAATGGACGAATTCATTTCAGATGATTATCATATCTACTATTGTGGGCAAGAATCCCATAGAAGAAATGGAGTAGCCCTCATAGTCAGCAAAAGAGTGGCAAAAGCTGTACTGGGCTACATTCTCAAAAAATGATAGGATGATTTCAATACGAATCCAAGGCAGACCTTTCAACATCACAGGAAACCAAGTCTATGCACCAACCACCAATGCGGGAGAGGCTGAACTTGACCAATTTGACCAAGACTTACAACACCTTCTAGAACTGATACCAAAGAAAGATGTCTTCTCTTTATAGGGGACTGGAATGCTAAAGTAGGGAGTCAAGAGATAAAAGGAACAACAGGGAAGTTTGGCCTTGGAGTTCAGAACGAAGCAGGGCAAAGGCTAATAGAGTTTAGTCAAGAGAACAAGCTGGTCATCACAAACACTCTTTTCCAACAACACAAGAGTCGACTCTACACATGGACATCACCAGATGGGCAATACCGAAATCAGATTGATTATGTTCTCTGCAGCCAAAGATGGAGAAGTTCTATACAGTCAGGAAAAACAAGAGCTAGAGCTGATCTTCGGCTTCTTATAGCAAAACTCAAGCTTAAACTGAAGAAAGTAGGAAAAAAACACTGGGCTAATCAGGTATAATCTAAACCAAATCGCTTATGAAT